CCCCACCTCTCGACGTGTTCTGTCCTCCCAGGACGTCACGTTCGACGAGTCGGTACCCTACTACCGCCTCTTCCCCTACCGCACTCCGTCCCTCCCCCCGCCCCCGCTCTTCTTGGTACCAGGTCCCCCCCCGGTAGACCCCCTCCCCCCTCAGGGTCCTGCCCCTTCAGGTGTGTCCCAGGTAGACGCGGTCGAGCCTGTCGAGGTCACTGGTGACTCTGGTGCTGCTGCGGGAGCTGAGCCTGGGGGTGCTGAGCCTGGAGGTGCTACACTTGGGGGTGCTGAGCCTGGGGGTGCGGAGTCTGGGGGTGCTGAGCTTGGGGGTGCTGAGCCTGGGGGTGCTGAGCCTGGGGGTGCTGAGTCTGGGGGTGCTGAGCCTGGGGGTGCTGGGCCTGGGGGTGCTGAGACTGGGGGTGCTGAGCCTGGGGGTGCTGAGACTTGGGGTGCTGAGACCGGGGGTGCTCCGCCTGGAGGTACTTCATCTCGCCGAGAGCGACTCTCCCCACAGGAGCTACGTGAGTGGTTTACCCGACGCTGGAGGCGTGCTGCTGGTGCTGGAGGTTCTTCGGCTGCAGAGGGTGCTGCTGCCGAGCGTCCCGGAGGTGCTCGTACTGTGGGTGCTGGAGCTGCTGGGTCTGAGGGTTCTCCTGGAGCTGGTGCTGCTGAGGGTGTTGGCGCTGAGAGTACCGCTGGCGGTCCGACTGGCAGTGCTCGTGGTGGTGCTGCTGGAGGTTCTGGAGCTACTGGAGGTGCTGCTGGAGGTGCTGCTGGAGCGGGTACTCCTACTAGGGGTACTGGTGCTGTCCCTGCTGTTTCTGGCGTAGCCACGCGGCCCCGACCGTACTTCGTTCCGCTCCTGCAGCAGGTTCTTGGTCTTACACCTTCTCCTGGTCCTCCTCCTCCTCCCTTAGAGGGTCCACAGCCTGTCTCGTCACAGTCCCAGCTGCAGCCTGCCTCCCCTTTGCCTGCTCCTTCTCCCTACGCTGGTCCGACTGGAGGTCTTACTGAGCGTCGTGAGCCTGCGTCTCGTCCTGCGTCGCCTGTTCGTCCTGCGCGCACTAGTGGTCACGGTTCTCGGCAGCGTCCTCCTCCTGTCTTTGGCACGCACCGGATGTCTCTGCGTCCGTCTACTGCTTCCCTGCGTGCCCCTTTGCCTTCTCCTCCTGTTTCCTCTCTTCCTGCTCTTGCCGACCCGGAGTCGGACTCTCTTTGTGTTGCCAGTCCTACTGTCACGCGTCTCCTTGCTACTGCTGTCACTGACCCTTCTTTCGAGTCTTCTGCTGCGTCTGCCCTTGTCACTGAGCTCGTCGACTTTGCTGCGCGCAGTCGTCTAGACTACGCTGCTAGTCTTGTCGCTGAGTCTGAGTCTGCCTGTCCTCCGTGCGTCGGGGGTGAGTGTGCCCTTGGCACGGACGTCCTTGAGGACAGGCAAGAGGAGTTCCAGTGTCTAGCCGCCGCTTCACCTCATCTCGCGTCTGTACTGCTAGCCCCTGAGGGAGACCCGGATGCACTAGAGATCCCGACTCCGCGCTCTTACGCGGAGGCGATAGAGGGTCCCTACTCCTCTCAGTGGCAGGCAGCTATGGATGCAGAGATGGCTTCCTGGAAGTCCACAGGCACCTACGCTGACGCTGTCCCCCCTCCTGGGGCGAACATCGTCAGTGGCATGTGGATCTTCAGGGTGAAGCGGCCGCCGGGTTCTCCGCCTGTCTTCAAGGCGCGTTACGTGGCTCGTGGCTTCAGTCAGCGGCAGGGGGTTGACTACTTTCAGACCTTCTCCCCGACCCCGAAGATGACCACTCTTCGGGTTCTGCTGCACGTTGCTGCTCACCGTGACTACGAGCTGCACTCTCTCGACTTCAGCACAGCTTTCTTGCAGGGCAGCCTGCACGAGGAGATTTGGCTGCGTCGCCCACCTGGCTTCACTGGGTCTTTCCCTCTTGGTACCCAGTGGAGTCTCCGGCGTCCAGTCTACGGTCTCCGCCAGGCGCCACGTGAGTGGCATGACACACTGAGGACTACACTGGCGGCACTTGGGTTTGCTCCTTCTACTGCCGACCCGTCGCTGTTTCTGCGCACCGACACCTCTCTGCCGCCGTTCTACATCCTCGTGTACGTCGACGACTTGGTCTTTGCCACAGCTGACACTGCTGGACTCGCCTACGTGAAGTCCGAGCTGCAGAAGAGACACACGTGCACTGACCTAGGTGAACTGCGCAGCTACCTTGGCTTGCAGATCACCCGGGACAGAGCACGCCGCACCATTACCCTGACTCAGTCACACATGGTGCAGCAGGTCCTTCAGCGCTTCGGCTTCATGTACTCCTCGCCTCAGGCCACTCCTCTGTCTACTCGCCACTCGCTCTCAGCTCTGCCTTCGGATGAGTCCGTAGAGTCGAGTGGCCTGTATGCAGAGCTTGTTGGCTGCCTCATGTACCTGATGACCTGCACACGACCTGACCTTGCATACCCTCTTAGCATTCTCGCACGCTATGTTGCTCCTGGGAGACACCGACCAGAGCACATGGCTGCAGCGAAGAGGGTGTTGCGCTACTTGTGCAGTACGTCGGGCATGGGGCTAGTGCTTGGAGGGCGCAGTCCAGTGGTCCTCACTGGGCACGCGGACGCTTCTTGGGCTGACGACCAGGCTACGCAGCGGTCGTCACAGGGTTACACCTTCAGCCTTGGTTCCGGCTCTGTTTCGTGGCGGGCTACCCGCTCGTCTTCTGTTCTCGGCTCCAGTTGTGAGGCTGAGATCTACGCCGGGGCCATGGCTGCACAGGAGTTACGCTGGCTCACCTACCTGTTGACCGACCTTGGAGAGCCGCCTCGTTCTCCTCCAGTCCTGTACGTAGACAACAAGGCCATGCTGGCCTTGTGTCGAGAGCAGCGACTGGAGCACAGGACAAAGCACATTGCTCTCCGCTACTTTCTTGCTCGTGAGCTACAGGAGCGTGGACAGTTGCGACTTGCGTACGTGGCCTCTGAGGCCAACACTGCTGATGTCTTCACCAAGGCACTTGCGCCTTGTGATCATCAGCGCTGCTGCACGCAGCTGGGCCTTGTGCCTTTCTTGCCTCACTTGCTCACTTCTTGACCTTGCTTGTACCTTGACCTATATATACTCTTGCTCTTGCTTGCTTGACTCTTGTATATCTCTATATATGGTCTTGCATGTGAACTGGCCTTGTGGCCCTTGACTTGTGCTCGGAATGTGTGGTGACTTTGTGATCCACCCTGAGCTTTGCTTTGTTTTGCTTGACTCGTCTTGTGACCCCTTGTTCTCCCCCACTTTGCCTATGGGGGTGTGTCAGAATATTATAGCTTACTTATTTGTGTAGGCTATAGTGGGGTATCCCATAGGGGGTACAACCCAACTAGGGTTTCCTATTTGTACTCACTTCATTCGTAGTCATTTCATTCACGTTCCTTTCTTCACAAATACAATGAATGCACAGACTAATGTAGGACTACTCTAGCTAGGAGGAAACCTCGGACGAGCGAGGTTGGGTGCAGGTTTGGCGATGGGAAAGCCGAAGGCGACGTGAGGAGCCTCGGCAGCGTTGAAATCGGCCGAACGTGCGAACTCCAAAAATCGGGTTGTACGCGAAGCAGTCAACCGCGATAAGGAATTCGGGAAAATTCCTTACAAGTTTGCACTATACCAATGCAAATACATTCACAGTCGTAACTGATGCGAAAAATAGACGATTGTCCAGACGGACGGCCCGATGACTTCCGCTGAGATTTTTGTGAAAGGGAAACGAATGTCCTTCAAGGGGAAGAGTCAATTTGGAGCAAAGTTCCCTTCAAACAATTGCCCCGAAACAAAACCACGGATTCAACGGAAACAGTGGCTAGGTAAGCTGTTCGATTATTGTTTTCTATTCAGATCTGCCGTCAATTCGACTTTACGGTTCATAATCTTATTCTGGGCAGAGAGCAATGCCCACCTCCTAACCCTTTCGACGGTCTGTGACGTTCACGGCACTTACGACGCCACTCACATGGGCGACACACGTACGACGTTGACGTAGTCATGGTTCCTTTTGGGAATACGTATATATGAACATAATGATGATATGGAAATATTAAATCTAATAGTTCTGATCTCTTTCTATTTACATGCTTCGAACTGTAATTGGATTGTTATCTACAGGCATGGGACACATTTCTAAGTCTAATTGCATATGAGCAATCACATAAGAGAGACCGTGCAACATGAGCGAGACCGTGCAACATGCTTGCAAAATATTACAACATTACAGCTCCGACGGAGAGACGATATCTAGTTGTAGTTGGAATATACAACATTGCCCGTCCTAGTAGTGCACATAAGCTGAGAAATGCTGCAGATGTCACAGCTTCACTATACTGGCATGCACAGTTACATCGTTTTAGGTTGCAAGCATGCGGTCACCTCCCACACCTGATCCTCCACCTGCCCTGCTGAACTCCTCCCCTCACCCTGCTTCTCTCTCCCTCGTCCCACCTTCATCGTGCCCTCTTGCCCTTTACTCCTCTCCATTGCAACTCCCCCCCTCCCGTTCTCTTCCAAGGATGCACTGCTCCTGTCTGGCACTCCCTCGCGACCACCCAACAAACGCCCAGTCAACCCTGCACTTGCAACATTCTCTAAAGCAGTGTCCCCACTACATTCAACATCCTTGTCCTCGTTTCCTTTCTTCCCTCCACACGGGCTGAGGGCTGAACTGGTTCCGGCCACCAGGCTCAACCCAAGCCTGCGCCTTGGGCTATGCGTCGATCCCTGTGGCTGCTGTAGCTTTTCAATGCCCACGCTCTTGCAGCTCCTCCCAGCACCACTGCCGTTGCCACCACTGCTACTGCTGCTCCTGCTGCTGCTGCTGCTGCTGCTGATGCCGCCTGACGTGCCACTGCTGCCGCCTGACGTGCCACTGCTGCCGTTGTCACTGTTGCTGCTGTTGCTGTTGCTGCTGCCACTGATGCTCCCGCTGCTAGCCCCACTGCTGCTGCTGCCGCTACTGCTGCTGCCACCGCGGAGAAGCGACAGCAACCACCGACGCTTGGAGCCCGGGGCATGAGAGGACAGCGGGGCCTGTCGATGGTGATAGCTGGTCGGCTGAGAAGGAGAGGAGAGAGAAGGCGCGAGAGAGGAGGCTTGGAGAGAGTGAACAGAGGGAAGAGGAGACGGTGGTTCGGAATGACTCGCTGGGAAGGAAGGGGACACACCAGGAGAAGGCAAGAAAGGTGAATGCGGAGAGCTGGGGAGGGAGCCTAGAGGGGACAGGGAGCGTTTGCTGCTGGGGCTCGCGTTGCTGCTGCTGCACACACTGCTGCCGTTGCTGCCGGAGCTGCCTCCGCTGCTGCTCCTGCTCACCGACATGTGCTGCGGACCGCCAACAGCACCGCCACCGACACTCGACGACTTGTACAGCCAGAAGTCGGCAGAGTCTCGCCTCTCTCGCCCTTGCACGGCTCGCTCCGGCTGCTGCGAGTGGCGGTGCTGGTGATGGTGCCGTTCGTAGTGCTGCTGGTGCCGCTTCTGCCGGTACATCTGCCGCTCGTTGCTCTCCGCACCGACCCCCTTCTCCTTCCCTTGCTGTCGCCCCTCGTGCCGGTGTCTGCGACCGTCTCTCTGACCGTCACTGTAACTGTCGCGCCTATGCCGCCCGGACCGGCTGCCCGTCTCCCCTTCACTCCCACTCCCGCTTCCGCTGCGATTGCCATCCTTCGACCGCCGCCTCCTTCCGGGACCATCGATCTCCGTCTCACTCCCCGCACTCCTATCATGCTGCCGCTGCTGCTGCGGCTGCTGTGGCTCCTGATGCTGCTGTTTGCGGCGGTGATGGCTGTACTTCTCCTTTTCCAATACGTCACGCAGCAGCGTGAGAGACGACACGGCATGCAGCATCCTCTCGCGGCTCGGACTCCCACTCTCGCTCCCACTCCCGCTCGGGCTGCCGCTGCCGCTGCCGCTGCTGCCCCGCCCTCTCCCCCGACTACCCTGTCCGCTGCCCTTCTCCCTTCCGCTTCCGCTGCCTGCCTCCCAGTTTCTCTCCGCGCTCCTTTCCATGCTCCCAGTTTGCGCGTTCCGCTCGCCGGCCCTTTGCTCTTGAGCGCGGCCCTCCGCTGCGCTGATGCCGCCCGCCCACCGTTCCGCCCGCCTATCTGCCGCTGCGCTGCTCTCCACTCGGAATCGATCCGCTGCCGCCCATGGCCCGCCAACGGCGGCAGCAATGGCGGCTGCAGCCGCCATGTCCGTCAGCCCGCGGTCAAGCTCTGCCGTTGATTCCTGACACGTGTCAGCAGAGGAGCGGCCAGTTTGGGGATAAGAGCCGTCGCTGCTCCCACTTGCGATATCTCCCGCGCTTTCCGTTCGCCCACTCATCCGGGCGCTACAGGTTCCGCCACTCAGGCTCCCGCCGGCGGCAGCAGGACTAGTCAGCATGTTATCGCTAACAGCGCCATCGGCACACGCGGAGGCGCTGGCGGCTCCCCCGAGCAGGCTGGGCGCAGCGGCTCCGCCGCTCCCCGAGCGCGGAAACGCGCCATGGTGGGCGGAGGGTTGCAGATGCGACGGCGGAAAACTGCTTTGGCTTAGCGGGCTCTGGCACCGGCTGCGCGGGCTGTCGAAGAGGCGCGCGGCTGCGCCCTTGGCGGAAGCGGAAGGGCTCCGCACGGAGGGGCTGCGCGCCGAGGGGCTGTCGAGCGCGAGGCGGAGCAGGGGATACGGGGAAGCGGCGGAGGAGCAAGAGGAGGCGACGGAAGGGGAGAGGTCTGACCAGGTGGAAGAGGAAGGGGAGGCGGAGGAAGGGGTGGTGGTGAGGGATGAAAGCGAAGGCGGCCCGCCGAAAGGCGTGGAAGCCGCGGAGCTAGTCGCGGTGGAATAGGAGTAGCATGGGGAATTAAGAGAGTCGGGGGAAATGAGGGAGTTGGGGGAGTTCGGGGAGTTAATAAGCGACGCGGGGGAAGGCTCCGCGGAGCCTTCGGACGGAGAATCGTGGAGCGAGGACAGGAAGAGAGAGAAGGGATGTGGGCGGTTCTTAGAAGCGTGATCGACCGAGGGGGAGGGGATGGCGAGGTGCTCTAGGCGGCCGGAAAATGCGCGAGGGAGAGAGAGGCTTGAGATGGACCGCCATTGCTCCTTCACCTTGCCTAATTGCGGCAGTGACGAAGGGGAAGAAGCCTGTTGCAGCTCCTTAAGCGGAAAGAGGTTTGGCAGAGGGGAAGAGGAGTCCAGGGGACATGAGTCTGACGGTTCCTGCGGCGGAACGGTGGGTTGCGGAGGGGATGAGGAGGGTGCCAATGTGCGGGGGTCTTTCCCGCCGGTCCATTCGGCAAAGGACGGATCGCGCTGGTGCGAGATTTGCGGGGGGAAATCCTTGAAGACGAGGGAGGAGGAGCGCGAATGGCGGCGGCCATGGAAAAACGAGTTGGAACGCGAGTGGGATGGCGCGTGGGTGTGATTAGGCGCCTCCGCAGCGGGAGGCGCGCCGAATAAGGACATGAAGGCGAATTAGCTTTCTGACTTGAGACCGCTACCGAGCGGAAAAGGCCAGATTGTTAATACTGTCAGTTGAGGGCTTACGTTGATAGCAAGTGGGAACAAAGCACGCGATAGCGGGAACGGCTAGGCCTCGTTGATGTGGAACAAAGTGGGTCCAGCGAGACTGAGATGAGCAGGTTGCATGCATGGAAGATCTTGCGTCTGTTGGTGGCTGCTTCACAAAGCTCAACTGGGACAAGAGAAGGGGGTTTGGGTGGAGGGACAGCGGGGCTCACAGGACACAAGCCATCGTGAAAGGTTGGTGGGGAACAAAAATGGATGTTGTAACTGCTGCTGAGTCAAAGGCCCGTATCTGGTTGGAAGGGGGTAAGGTGTTGGATTTTCACAGCAATGCTGCTGCGGTGGTGACTCTGGAGAAAGGGAGAGGGAAGGGAAGGGAGGAGAGGAGACGAGGGAGTGGAAAGGACGCACGAATGTGACGCGGAGATGTGATGACGGCATGGAAATTGAAGGGCGAGGGAGTGGGGATGATGGTACAGTCGGTGCCCATTTCAAGAACACCAGGTAGGCGGGCAGCATGTGCGCGAAACGTGTTAGAGAAATTTCGCCATATTCGCCCTTGTCGCCACGGGCAAAAATGTGACAGAAATATGAAATTGCAACGTGAATCCAGTTAAGGGCTTTAAATTTGTAACCAGGTTAACTTCTCTTATGACGGGCAACCGTTGTTGTTTATGTACTGTACATGTTTTTCTTCCTCAACTTGGTGACTGTACCCCGAAATCGGCACAATGGTCAATTAAGGACGTGGGCCCAATCGACTTTGATCGGCGCGATCAGAGGCGATCAAGACTTTCGAGGAAGGCGGGAAGCAGATTTCAGGCAATCAGGGAAAATCAGCTGATCGCGATCAGCTGATCGCGCCAACTCAATCAACCGCCTCAAATAGCCCGATCAGACCCGATCAGACACAATCAGCCCCAATCACTTCATTGCATGTGATCGGCGACCAGGGCGACGTGAACGAAATGTAACACGTCTCGCCATGAGGTCTCGAAAATCCTTGCGAACACACCCAGTTCGGCGAGAACAGTGTGTTGGGACATGATGTTAGCGACATTACCACGATACTGACGTTCGTCCCTATCGCCAAAGTTGGGATGCAACTACTAGGTAATGGGTAGACAGTTTTCACGCAAGAGCGCAAAACATTCGAGGAAAATCATCTCTGATCGGGCGGCGCGAGAAAAACCGAACTGATCCGATCAGAGCCCATCAAAGTCGATTAGGCCCACGTCCTTAGTCACTCACGGGCAGAACGTTCGCGAGTGACTAAATTTCTAATTGTGGGGAGCAATTGTTCTGTGATAGGCTGAGCATCGACTGTATCATGGGATGGATGGGACCATGGTCAGGGACGAGGGCTGGGATGGGAGGAGGAACCGTGGTGCTGGGGCTGGGGGGAAAATGGGGTGGAAGGACTGTGTGCCGACACCGCAAACACTCCAATTCGAGAAGTGTACGTGACGACAAAATCAGGGCGAAGACAGAAAAGACGCTGCCCGAAGCAAAGCAAACCACATTTTCTTGTCTGCCAGAGCTAGGAGGGGTGTAGACTTCGCTTGTAAAAAGCACTCACAAGCGATTGGCGGGTGTTCCTAATTGTTTTCCGCTTACCCGCGCAAAGTTGGCGTGCATATACACCAACTCGACATTGGGCACGTGGACAGAGATCGGGGGGTGTCGGCAGGGCAGATCGCACTTCAGCTGGCAGGCACGCTGGGTGAAGGGCGGGTGTGCGGAAATGCGGCGTTGCGGGATTTGGCCGCGGTGGCATGATGGAGTGTTAGGGCGGGTCCGAAGTGAAGTCGACATCCATTGACATCCGATGTCGGTCAATCCTGACGGTTGGAACTCTCGATCCGAGGGTTGACATTTACCAACATCCATCGACATCCATTCGACGCTTCACTTCGGACACGCTCTTATAGGTCAAACTGCCAATTCCAATATTTTCGCGAACACTGCAGGATAACGGCTGACGACAATCCTGTCCAATGCCGTTCTCATTCGAATAGGCGACTGGGCAGTGGTTACCGCATCATTCTGAAAGTTATGGTTTATGGGGGGCGAGAGGTTGTGGTGCAGGTGGAGATGCTGTTGGTTGCAAGGTGGCAGCGGAGAAACAAATCGACAGAACGAAATGAAAGCCCTGATCAGCATTGCAACGGCAACTTGCCGATGTACCTTAGTGAGGCGAGGCGAGTGACGAACAACAACAAACAAATGAGCCACAAACAACTTCTTCTATCAAGGGCTGGGGAAACTGGCCGTCATCTAGTGGGGGTAAATAATACATAGAGCGAAACTAATGCTGAAGGGTGAATGATTCTTAATGCAATCAATTTATCAACTGGAAAACTCTGGCCAGGAAACGAGTTGTCGAGAACTGCATGTGGAAACAAAGCTGCAAGCGAGCAACATCGCCGATATTCTGGATACGATTCGAGCTGGACTCCACGCTGTCAACTGACCATATGCGCAAGTAGGACTCGCCACACACCAAAAAACGACCACTTGTAATGAACAGAGAAGCTAGCTGATTCAATAGAGTTCATACCAGACATCTATAAGCGATAATGTTTGCAAGTCATAAAACAAGAGCAGGTAAATGCAATATACAATATCCTGCAATATATATCCCCCCCCCCCCCTCCCACCCGCTCGCCCCTCCCCTATCCCCCCTCAACAAAAGAGGGGAACAAATAAAATCAATTGCTTGGATTTTTTGTTTTAATCCAATGACATCGTTTCCACTTGCCTATTAGGGGACGTAACTATTTTGCCCCCGGCGGTTCGAACCGTGGACCGTCCAGACAGACGAAAGGTTGCGTGTTTCGCTTTGTGTCGTCTAGGTGTTTGTGGAGGTTTGTGCGACGTCGCCAGCAATTCAGACCGTGGCGTCATTTTTTCCTCTTCTCCACGGTTCGAATTGTACATCGGTCCGAAACCCAAATGAACGGTCCATCAGTCATATCTAGAGATTGGTGCGTGGAATTTAAAAAATATATATTGAAGTAGGGATTGGCGCACGAATTTTGCAGAAAATATGTTGTGGATTGCGTAACGATGCTACAGTCGGGGTTGACGTTTCGTTTTAGGACTCTCTGATTCCATAAAAAAAAAAAAATGACCCCCTATTAATTGTTGGAAACAATAAGTCCTAAGTGCGCTTCTGTCGTATCAAAATCCAAGGTACCAAGCGAAGCAGTCCCAATCGAAGCATCGAGTCAACCTCGGAGGTTAGGGTAACCGCCTGGAGGTTACGAGAAAGTCAAAGGTCGCTGACCTTTGACTCGACAATTACAGCGCGACAGTTAAGGACACACAACTGACTCGTTACAGAGCAGTTGCCCGAGTCGCGCTATATCGAACCGCAACAGCAATACAGTTATCTATTCCCTGTACTCTTATATAAATCATTGTATTTGCTTGTTTAATTCAATCAACTTTGCTCTCACACACCAGTGCAAGGTCGGTTCAAATTCTTCACTAAGCGCTTCCGCTATTACAACTACTTCACCTAGAGTTATCCCTTGCAAAGATCCTAAGGGGCTATCTCAGCCCAACATGGTATGAGAGCAGACAAGGGAAACTCTACTCTTTTTTCAATATCATTACAAGACATGGCAACAAACAAGGAAAGGAGCTCCCCTAATGGCTCCTCGGGCACTACTCCTACTCCACCGTCAGCCTCTGGCCTGCAGACAGAAGAAGGCACGGCAACAAGACCAAGAGGAACGTCAACCGAGACCCCCATGAACCACCCTTCGGACTTTGACCAGAACATGATGGAGAAATTTTTCTCCTTCATGTCCTTCTACGAACAACACCAGCAGTCGGGACCTGCACAAACACACAACAGCAACAACGGAGCGACACCCATGAGTCTTGATGGGTCGTCATATGCGCGAGGAAACCAGCAGCAGCAACCTACCTTTGCTCCGTACGAGCGCGGGTCAATCAGCTTCGTGCCCCACCCGCAACCTTCACCTGGACAAGAAAGACCACTGGACGCACTTCAAGTTCAGTCGCAGTTTGCACACGTCTTAAAACTGCAAACGTCAAGACCCTTCGACGGCAAAGACTTCTTTACCTGGTCCTTTGAATTCGAGCTGATGATGGAGGGCGCGCAGATACTCGGCTTCTTCGACGGGTCCCTGCAGTATCCAGCCAACGGGACACAATATGAAAAGCAGCAGTATACGTATCAATCAATGATGGCGTATACAATCCTATTGAGGAATGTGACACCAACTCAGCAGCAGAACATTCGCTCTTACCGGACCTTCGGCAACTCGGCGGAGCTCGCGTACAGCCATCTGAAGAACCTGTATCAAGCAACAGACAGTGTAAACCAGAGCAGGTTAATGGCGCAGTTGACGACAGTCGAAATGAAACCAGGAGAAAAAGGACTGGCGTATATCAGCCGATGTCGCGAACTGCGCGACAAGCTGCTTCGATGCGGAGGGTCAATCTCTGAAGACGCCTTCGTGACAGTCATCATTGGTGGGCTTGGTCCTCAGTGGCGCGCCACCAAAGCCATTCTTCGAGCCCACGGAAGAATCTCTGAAGCTGCACTCTGCGCCGAAATACATGCCGAGCAGCAAGATATGGACCTGCAGGAAGAACGACACAGGAAGAAAACGACAGTATCAGAGTTCGCATTCCACACTCAACGACGACACAGCAATTATAACAACCGACAGCAGCAACCGAAGATAGTACCTCCCTTCTGCCACATCTGCAAGACTTCAGGGCACCCGCGCACACACTGCCCGAATCGTCAGCAATCAACGGCACCACAGCGACAACTTCGACCTTCAAGCTCCCAAATGGCTTCAACACAAGCAAGTGCGACGACCACTATTCAAGCTTCAACGACTTCACCCGGACAACCTGCACAAGGAGCAAGAAATATAATCAACTGCATGACGAAG